CGCGAGTCTCGAAAGTGAACTCGCTGCGAGTGCCGAGGCTTGGCTACCTCGCGCGTCGTCTCGCTGGTCTCGAAAATGACCTCGCAACGAGTGCCGAGGGCTTGGCTACCTCGAGCGCCTGCTCGTAAGTCTCGAAAGCTGTTTCGCCGCGAGTGTGAATGGGTCTCGGCTCGTTCACTCGAATAACTCAATGACAATCTCTCTCTCAAAAGCTTACGTGGCTCGATCAAATGGCTCGACTAACTCGTCTTGTAATGGCTCGACATCGAAATATGGACAACGGCTCGTCTTACCAAACGTGCATAGAAGACCTAAACACAACACAAGAGACAAGAAAATACGCCGAAATACAAAAACACATCAGGAAAATGACACATAAAACACGACAAATGAACCGGTTGACAAAAAAACTAACTTAAAAAACGACTCGACTAATGCACTTTAAACACAAGAAAACACCACAAAACTCCAAAACCCCACAAACGGCGCAAATGTCGTGAAATAGATTTCAGTCGGGCTCCTCCAACTCGGATGGCCTCCATACCTGCAAGAACCCAACGCCGGGAGGGGTCCCGGTGTCGGGCCTCTGACGGTCAAGTCAATATCATTCCAAAACTCCAAATTTCAAGAGAGTAATTATTAATGTAAAGAGAGTTAGATGAGATATCTTAGCCCCTAGTAATGCTATAGAGCCAATGGTTGGCTCCCTTATGGAGCCAACAACCAATTAAATTGCTCCATGTGGGGATGTCCCACATGGGCTCTATGTGGGACATCCCCACATGGAGCAATTTAATTGGATGTTGGCTCCATAAGGGAGCCAACCATTGGCTCTATAGAAGGACTGGCTTAGCCCCTTTTATAAGAAAACTGTATCTTGTGGCCCAAGTTGGGCTTGTCCAATGTCATCATGCCACATATCATAGCCCATGTGTATACATTAAAACCCGCTCTAGTATAATATCATATATCAAACATAACAAACACTTATATCCAGGCAAACCCCTCAATTAGCGGGTTAGTTGTTTTGTTTGGCCGTGTGGCTGATTATTCGACTGAGCGGTTGTTCTCTAGATTTGTTTGTTTTGGAATGTATCCGATTCTTATCCTTTAAAAAAAAAACTAAAAAAAAAAAACAAAAAATGCCCCTCAATTATTTTTCAAGCAACAATTGTTTGTCGTGTAAATTAGCGTAACCTGCAGCGGTGTTTGACAGCAACACAATGCTTATAAAAGTCCAAATTGAGAGACAAACATGATCTGGAATCATAACATACATTTATTAATTGATATAAGTCCTTATCATTTTGCGGATCTTTTAATTGCTGCATGACATTTTATTTCATTTTCTGTTCTAAAATTATCAAATAATTAATACGTGTTATTTTTTTAGAAAAAAAATATAAAAACAATTAGCGTATAGTGTAAGGAATATATATAATTTACTTTGTTTTATCCAGCAGCCATATTTTTAAATTAAATTTCATATTTGATATTTCCTGTGAGGAATATAAATACTTTTAAGAAAAAATGTGAACAGAATTAATGCTCGTATTTGGAAAAAAAATTGAAAGTGTTCTGAGTTAATGTATTGGATGTATTTGGAAAATATATATATATTTTTTTTTTGGTACAAGGACCTTCCGGTTTCCGAATCCACAGGGAAACCGACTAATCCGGAATCGAGCCGGGTAGGACCACAAGGGCGGCAAAGCTCTCCCTCAAGAGTTTTAACACTGCTGCATTCTCAGGGCTAGAACACGAGATCACTGATTAAGCTGGAAGAAACCCAAGCCATCTCATCCAAGCGCTTTTGGGTATTTGGAAAATATATATTGACCGTGTTTCAGTTATTATGAATATTTATGTATCAAAAGCAGTTATCATAAACAGTTTTATTGATACTCAATTAATAAATATTACTCACAATTGTGAATATGTGATTATTGACTTATTTGAAGAAAATGTTTGCCAGAAATCTTAATTTTGGCATGAAATTAACACGTCATAGATGTCACGTTTTATTTTTTAGACAAATTTAGATTTTTTTTTTCGGTAGCCAGCCATGGTATTCGGAATTATGCTCCAATTAATCCGTTGGTCGACCCGGGTCGTACACTTGGCAATGGTGGGTGAGTCTCCCAACAAGGGTTTTCTGCATTCACAAGGACTCGACATCAAGCTGCTTACCACTTGAGCCAACTCCTGTTAGTAATTTAGAATTTCAACTATATAAGATTTAACACTTGTATACAAAATTTGTCCAAAAAACTCGATAAAAAAAGCCAAAACTGTATAGAGTTATGCTACAAAACCAACCTCCATTACAACTTGGTTTACAACCAAGTGTAATGGAGGCATTAAAAAAATATAAAATATATTTTTTTAATGTCTCCATTACACTTGGTTGTAAACCAAATTGTAATGGAGGTTGGCTAAGTAGCATAATTCAACTATATAAGATTTTTATTTGAGTAATGCTATACAACCCACTTGGATGACAACTTGTGTTACAACATAAGTGTTAATGTATTATTTTTTAATTTTTTGACAATGCATTTACACTTGAGTTGTAACCCAGGTTGTCAACTAAGTAGGCTAAATAGCATTACTCTTTTTATTTTAATCTTTTTAGTTTCTGATGTAGCGAAAGCGTGAACGAAAGGGAAAAGATACAATACGAGTAAACGAGATACTCTCTCGTAAAACACACGTAAAAACTCACAATATCAATTTTTATTTCATATTCAACTTGAGATAACAAAAGAGGGAGAGTCCTTTATATAAGGCTCATAAACTCTATTCCTAACTTGTCCAACAAGACAAGATTTTATAATAATATCTAAAACCTAACTTATTCTCCAAGATAACTAATAATAATAATAATAATAATAATAATAATAATAATAATAATAATAATAATAATAATAATAATAGCAATAATAATAATACTAATATTATTCTACACCATTCTCCCCCGATTCGGAAGGCTTCGCCCTCGAAGCCGATGCGCTCCCGTGGCCGGCGTGTGGTGTCGAACTCATGGTAGCAAACCTCGTCATTTTTCCCGGTCGAACACAAAGGTTGAATATCGCTCAACTTCACATAACAAATGGAGGATCAGATATTTAGCCTCGTTGCGTTTCCACTGTTGTACCGCAGTTTCTATGCCCAAATGCCCGTGGTGCTCAGTTTTAGAATACGGAGCAATAAAATCAGCAACCTCCACTAACATGAATGAATATTTTTCCAGGGGCTTACACAAGCCAAAATCAGAAAGCGTCACCTCGGGCCCCAGAGGCTCTTCATCGAAAATAGGCGGACCGTCGTAGAGACTATCTACTTTGCCAGTAAGACGCTCCTCGACCTTCTCGGGCCCTTCATCAAACACAGGCGGACCATCGTACAATGGCCCGTCAACATGCTCTTCGTCGAATTCGGGGATGTCCACACGAAACGGGCCCTCCCATCGACCATAATCACGATCAAATTCCCAACTGATACCAACTGATGTAGCAAGAAGATACAATACGAGTAAACGAGATACTCTCTCGTAAAACACACGTAAAAACTCACAATATCAATTCTTATTTCATATTCAACTTGAGATAACAAAAGAGGGGGAGTCCTTTATATAAGGCTCATAAACTCTATTCCTAACTTGTCCAACAAGACAAGATCTTATAATAATATCTAAAACCTAACTTATTCTCTAAGATAACTAATAATAATAATAATAATAATAATAATAATAATAATAATAATAATAATAATAATAATAATAATAATAATTATAATAATAATAATAATAATAATAATAATAATAATAATAATAATAACAATAATAATAATACTAATATTATTCTACACCAGTTTCCATTCTTACAATTGATAAGAGAACTATGTTGTTGGAGAGAAGGGGTATTATATTCCATGTTTTCAAATATATTTTTTAGGGAAATGCTAAGATCGGAACTATTCTTTCGGGATTTGTAACCGTCAGAGATTGTTGATTTAACAATTTCAAATTTCGACGGAATGGTTCCGTAACGGGACCGTACGTAACATCTCCCTATTTTATAACTTAAAAAATAACTTAAAAAAATAATATTACTACATATTTGTTTATAACTATAGTTATTATTTTGTTACGTCTCTGCTACATCACAACTAAAAGATATTCTTATATCACATACTTCAACATTATATTTTTTTTTAATTTTTCCACTAAAATATATTATTTCTCTCAATAAAACTATATCAAGTCACACACTTTAATCTTTCATATCATTTATATATTGATATATTTAAAAAAAAAAATTATTTGGAGACATTGATTTTTTTTTCCTTGAATAAAAAGGACCACTTTTATTATTTTACAAGCGGGGCCAATTATATATAATTCATTAGTTTATAGAAATAGATATTTTGTCTTGTCTAATGTAATCTTCATTTTTTCATAAATTTCATAGCCCAATATCGGTAACAAAATACATTTTATATTTTTATTTTTTTTTTGTCTAGATATATATTTTATTTGATAATTTTATTTTTTTTTACTTAAAAGTTTAAATAAAATAAGTTACTCATGTACTGAAAATTATACCTATATTGGCATATATACGATAGCAACATGCCACTGATTTTGGCAGAGTTATTTACTACATACATACAGGAATAAAATTATGAAAACAACACGACATATATAAACCATTATTATGTACGTAGCTGCTGCTTGACATTTAATGTAAACTTTATTGCTCAATTAAATAATCATAAATGTAGGTAAAAGATTAAAAGTAGCAACCTTCAAAACCCACCACCACACATGGATTTATTTAACATCAATCATAATATCCAAAATTTAATTTATATATATAAAAAAAAATGAAGCTTAAAATATAAAATTCCTCAATGTTAGAACAAAAAAAAATAAAAAAAAATGTCATTAATTTTTTACTAAAATAAAATTTAAACAAAAAAAAAATGATAAAATCCAGTTAAAATAAATCCGGATCCTCATCATCAAACTTGAAGTTAGTAGTCTCATCAAGCAACCAATTCTCAATCACCGACAACCCGGAAAACCCATCCGGGTCGGGTTTCACGTCGACGCTCGACCCAGACCCGGAAAACCCATCCGAATTCGGAGATTCGAAGCTCCCGAAACCAAACAACGACTCGAAAGCCTCCGACAAATCGACCCCACCACAACTTTTACCCGACTCCCGAGTAGTAGCAGTAGTACCGCTCGAGCACTTCGACTCGATTTTTATCTCCTCGAAACTCGGGTTATTACTACTATTTTTAACCCAACCCTTTAGCAACCGCGCTATATTTTCCGTGCTCGACGCGTACGAAAACCCCTGCTGCTGCCCGGGCTTGTCTGAGCCCGGGCAGACAGGCTCGGCGCTTTCGAGCGAGAGGGCATCCTTAAGAGCCTGTTTGGCCGTGTGGATGTTTGCTTGAAGGCGCCTTTCCCACCGACCCGACCCGAGTCCGTTTTTCTCGGGTATCGGGTCGCCACACGACCCGTTTTGGAGCCTCCGGAGCTTCTTTTTCAAGTGCGTGTTCCAGTAGTTCTTGATGTCGTTGTCTGTTCTTTCCGGGAGGTACGAGGCAATGGCGGCCCACCTACATAACAATTAATTTTTTTTTATATATATATTTTCTTATTAGTTCATTATTATGAGAAATCACAAAAAATCAAATAAAATAATTTTAAATTCATCTTTATTACACACATGATTTAACTAACTAACTAACTAGCAAGTAATTAAAAGAAAAAAATGCTTATTAATTACTTGTTGCCTAGTAGGGCTTGAAGCTGGATAATCATCTTCTCTTCATGATCCGTGAACCCGCCCCGTTTGATTCCGGGCCGGAGATAATTGGTCCACCTTAGCCTGCAGCTCTTGCTACATCTCCTTAGCCCAGTAGTAGTAGGAACAGCTCTCCAGTTGCCCGGGCCGTGTTCTTGGACATAAGACACCAACATTATATCTTCCTCGGGAGTCCATGGGCCTTTCTTCACGCCCATTTTATCGCAACAAGGTGGCCGGCCCATTATTTTTTTTTTTTTTGGATTTAATTTGTATCTTTTTGGTTTGTATCTTTTTGGATTAAAAATTTTGGGTTTTTTTTTTTTTTTTTTTTTTTTTTTTTTTTTTTTTTTTTTTTTTTTTTTTAATTTTTTGTTTTTTTTTTTTTTTTTTTTTTATTTGTGATTTTTTCTTGTTAGGAGATACAAGAGTCTTGAGGGGCAAAGGTTATTGCATCTGCATATATAGATGACAAATTAGGGCACTCTCCAAAAAAAGAGTCAAAAAAGTTTGACAACAAATGCATTTACTATACACGTAATGTGATTGGATGACCTAAAGTCAGCTGCTGAGTGTGCTTTTGCAGAGTATTTCGTGTCAGTAATTTTTATCGTTGGATCGATACATATTTGTTGTGTAGGTTTATACGAATATATGTGAAATGATTTATTTATTGGGTGTTTGTATATATTTCACATTGTTTTAAATAGCGCGTTGTAGTGTTTTTGTTTTGAAAAACACGCGACGTAGTGTTATATATCTAGCGTTTTTTTTTTTTCGAAAAGCGTCGCGAAATGCTGAAATGATGTTTTTTTTTTCTATGTTGTATTTCTGCAGCGACGTGATAACAGTAAAATATTAAAAAATACCGTATTTTTTGGAGATATAAAGTCATATTTTCAAAATGACGACTAAAAATTAAAAATTTTGATATTGATTTTAAGTTAAAAGTTTGAAAATACAAAGTCTTAAGCTGAATAGTGCAATATTTATCGATCTAGGTCTATCATATCATTTTTTTATTTTTTAGTATTTGATATTAAATTAAAGAATAAAAAGTTCATATAGTTAAATTAAAAAAGTAATTAAAATGTACATACTTAAAATTGAACCATGGGTCCATGACTGACCTTATTATATTATCGTTGTTTTTTTTTTTATTTTTTTATTTACTTTTTGGTATACTAGCTTTATTATTTAAATATTAATATTTACATACTTAATTAAACATTTGTGATAAATAATTCTTAAATGTTGTTATTTATTTCATTCGGATATTAAAATAATTTTTGAAATCAACCATATTATGTTCAAATATATATATTCATAAAATTATTTTGTATATCCAAACAGTTTAAATAACACGCAACACTATTACGCTACACAATATAAAAATTAAAACGCATGAAGGAGAGGACATTAAAATAATAATAATAACAAAAAAAAAAAGAAAACACGATGAGGACAGTAAACTCGATTTTTTGTTCGTGTTTTTCTGTACTGTCTCACCAAAACCGCGTGGCATTCAATGTGATTTTGGCCGATTACAAAACAAAAGCCCCTAATTTGGGGGGATTTTTACTTTTTTAATTTTTATTTTGTTTTTAAATAATTGAATACTGACTGAAAATCATAGTTTTTAAACTCGGCTCGAAAATTGACCCGGGCAGATCTCCGGGTCACTTGTTCAACCGTCGGGTTACCGGGTCACCGGTTCAACCGCCGGGTCACCGGATTAATTACCGAACCAGAGAATTAACTTTTTTTTTTTTAAATTATATATATAGTATTTTTTATATATAAATATACATAAAAGTAACAAATATAAATGTTTGGCATATAGAATTTGTAAATCAAAGTATTAAAATAATTATATCTAACAATAAATATTTATTATATCAATATATTTACATAGTTTTTATTTTTTATATAAAAAATATTTAAAAAAACAATATAAAGACCGGGTCAACTGGGTTGATCCGGCCGGGTCAATGGCCCGGGTCGACCGGGTCAAGGCCGGATTGGTCGGGTCTTGACTGGGTTTGACCGGGTTCATTGTTACCTGGTCTAAATAGCCTATCCGGACTGGTTCCAGGTCTGGGTCCACTAGGTCCCAGTGGACTCGCCGGGTTGGTCCGAGTTGAAAAACAGTGCTGAAAATGCAATTATTATTATTTTATTTTTTTTAAAGAAAATAAACGATGCATGTGGGCTAAATGAATGAGAAATTATGGAGGTGGGGACCCCCTTTTTTTGCCCCCAATTGCAAATTATAAAGATTTTATAGCCATGCACCCTACTTTTTATTTTTATTTTTTAACTGAATTAATGCGCTTTTAGTGTATTTAATGAAAATTTGAATTTACATTTAAAATTCCAAAACAAATACTATTAATGAAGAAAAATAAGAAAAGTTGACTTTAGGTCTTTAACAGAAGAGAAGCCATGGTGCAATAACGCAGGTCACAACGGGGTCGTTGTGTTTGGCTAATTCAGACACCATAAATTAATTAATGGAGTATATAATAATATTAATAAAGGTGATAAACTCATATTGAAAGAAAAAAAATAAAATAAAACATTTTTTAAATTAATTCAACTTAATTACTCAATTCATGAAAAAGCATTTTTTAATTTTTGGCAACAAATCATTTTTTTTAACAAATATGCATAGATTCATATTGAAATGTCATATTAATTTTATTTTATTTTTTTATTTTTTTTAAAAAGAAATTAATCACACCTTATGTAGTATATATGTTATCTTATTCAAAACTATTAAATTGTTTCACAAAAGCAAGCACAATTTAATTAATGGGAAATGCTACGGTCCCGTTACGGTACCATCCCGTCAGGTGTTTTAACCGTTAAATACACATGTAGTTAGTATAAAATAGATGATCCAACGGTTAAAACACCAGATGGGATGGTACCGTAACGGGACCGTAGCATTTCCTTTAATTAATATATGATATGTATCAATGAATTAATGTAAAAAGAAGATGCAATGCATTTAATTAATTAAGATGGTCCATATTTTGATTTATAATATCTACTGAGCCATGTTTTTTTTTATCTTAACCTTTCAGAACTGTACCTATTTTTTCATGAGTGAGTATTGAGAAACACTGTATCTATCAAAATTAATATTTGTCTGAAAATAGCTATTTTTTAATTAATTAATTTCACAAATCATATGATATGTATTATGATCATGAAAAATTTGCTCACTTTGGGTTTTCAGATTCCATTTTAGTGAAATTAAACTAGTTTCTTCTTATGATTTATTTAAAGGTAATCAATGTCCATTTTTTTTATTTTTTATTTTTTTACTAGTATGACTTGCCAAATCCATTATTTTTAATTATTATTGACAGATAGATATTAATTAATTTTGAGAAATAATTATTTTATTTTGTTTTTGGTAAATAAAAATATCTAAATAAAAATAATCTATATATCTAACATTATATATATATAAAGGATAAAACATAAAAAAAAAAAAAGGAATTGGAAAAAGATGGGAAGAATAATAGACTTTTATGCTCAATGGGCCTCCTCAGGACTTTATAGTGTAACTAATTTATTACCGAGATGTGACTCATACGTTTTGGGCCTTTATACTTAATTTACAAAAATGATTTGACTTTGGACTTTGATTTCCAAGCCCGAAGAAATTATACATCAAGCCCACTATATGGGATTTGTACCATTCCACCCAACCCAATTGGCAAGTATCCGGGTTAACGCTTTTATCTATATATATATATATA